TTTTTTTCCTGTGACTTTTTTTCCTGTGACTCTTTTTCTGTGTTTTTTTTCCTGTGTTTTTTTTTCCTGTGATTTTTTTTCCTACAATCAACTAACCACGTGTGCTAAGCAGCTATCTTGTTTCTAGATATACAAAACAATCGACTGTCTCGTTTGTTTATATCATTTGCGTATACTTTTCTATTTGTTGTTTTAAATTTATACAACAACGTTAAGTTTAATAATTAAAACTTTGCCAATAATTGTACTGTTGATTGTCACTGGAACACAATTAAATACTGTTTCGTACGCTTCATACTAAGCTGAAACAATGCGTCATGTACATGTCTGTCCGTGTGAAGAATGAACTAAGTCCATCCCCTTTACCCCCCTCATCCCCTCCTCGCCATTCAACCAACGGCCGGTTTATAATCTTGTTACGGCATGCTGTGATAGGCTTGAACGAGTTCATCAGACTTTACATCGGACTGTATACGACACATGTGTTAATGTATATGCCCATCTCTCCGTATATGGTTTGCTAGCAACGAATGTAAATACTAGATGAAGATGGGATAGCTGATAAGCATTCACTTAGGCTTAGTACGTGACCCTATCTACACAGATGTTTTATTCACGGTTGAATGAACATTGGTAATCTATGGCTCATCGGTTCTTCATGCACTATCCAGCGGTGGGGTTGAAGGGCGTGTCTAGATTCAAGCGTTGTACCCAGTGTTGTGTAGTAGTAATAAACTTGTGTAAGCTACAATAGAAGAAGGGAAAGACATTGTGTTGAAGTGAGAAGACCGGCTAACAAACAAAACTTAATCTGGTTCGATGATAGTTGGTCTGAGCATAACAATCGAATGATAGGATGTGTAAGACTTAATAGTCATTAATTCATTACCTGTTGTGTACATATTTTCTGCTTACACAGAAAAATCTACCTAAAACTTACAACATAAATCAACGCGTATTTATTAGCCAAATGGTTATTCCTCTATAAGGGGATTCGCACAGTACCCTTTTCCGTCTTTCTTTTCATGTTCAAAGGAGCCGTTTGTCATAAAAAACTGAAACATTCCACATGCATTTAGCATTATACCATCAACAAAACTACGTTTATACATTAAGTTTACTGCAATACTTTAGAAAATACTGATATTTATGTGGCACCACCCCCTAATTTTTGTACATAAATTTACGTAAACATTTGTATTAAAAATTGAGTACGAGATATCGCAATGAACAAACGTAGAAATGTATAACAAAGTTATCGAGGTTTGAATAGGTGTTAGTTTTCACACCTTTTCGCGGGGTCCATGGTATTGACGGTTATATATTATTTTTGTCTATAGTTTAACATCTATAAACATACGAACTTATTAAACACCCAGAAACGTGTTAAATAAAAAAAAATATCCGCAGTACCTATCCTTAATACTTTAAAATGACGTTTAAAAAGCATTGAAATCGCTGAATCACCATAAGTGATAGTTATGAAAATAATGCGACTGCCCAACTTCAACAGAATAAATTAAAACAAAAATACAGATACAAGTAAAGAAACCACAGAAAAGCGCACCTCTCAGGTCAAAGGACACCAAACAAAATCAGAAACACCATAAAGCATTTACAATAACTTTATGATTACAAGAATAATGAAATGTGAGGGCTTTAAATAAAATATATTTTATTTAATATTTTTTGTCAAGGTAATTTTTTTAAAAATTGTGTACTAAACTAATTTTATTTAAAAAAAATAATTAATTGTGTTAAAACTCGAAATGTAAAGATAAATGTGCTAAATATTAAACACAGAGAAATAGTTATATAGCACTAATTTTAAAAATTAGCACTAATTGAAATTCAACAAAGATTTAATTTTTTTTTGTTATATGTGTGACGGTAAGGAAACACACACGCTCAGAGTCAAACAATGGGTATCATACTCAGCGTATAAACAGCGTATATAAATATCACAACATTTGATCTTAAAAGTGTTTCTATTATATAATATCACTATGTATAAATTACAACACCAACCATGTTTTTTACCCTACCCATGCTAATCGCGTACGCCACATTCCGCACACACAATTGGTGACCTAATTTCTTTTTCATATTGAAGAGCGTCGGTTCTGAATTTCCCTTGATAAACTGCTTGCGATTTACACAAATGGGTCCTTGAATAAAATTATACTTTTCTAATTCAGTCTTTTCGGAATCGAACCCTATATAACCAGAACGGCACGCTTTCACAACGGATTTCCACGTATTCATAACCTCATCATCCTTGACATTCAGAAGATCAAGACCGCTATTGTGCTCCGGGTCAAGCATATCTTTAGGGACTCTGAACACCAACACAGCAGGAGTTGTCGAACTTTTTCTTCTCGCCCAGTGTAGCGCTAAACTAAAATCAAAATGTAAATAAAAGCCGTCCTTGCTGGAGAAATCTCTCTTGGATCCGCCTTTGGTGAGGTCTATGCCTCTCTCCATTACGTCCGCGACGTTTTCCAGTGAGCTCCCGTGGTAGAGCAGCTGGTGGCTTTCTTCAGACAACATTGTGTTGATGCTCTGCTGCATTAAGCTGGGAGACTCGGACTCGCTTGCGTTTTTGAAAATACATGCACGCTGTAGGCAACTTCCAGAAGAACAATCGCCAAAATGTAGTATATACCACGTGTCTTTCTTTAGCTGTTTTTCACGCAATGTTAAAATCTCTAACATCTGAAGAATTTACACAAAAAAAAAATTAGATTAATTTTAAGCGTTTTTATTGACTTAGAAATCCTGCGTTTGATTTAGAAGCAGGAACTATCATTAATTTAACATTTGGCGCATGGCAAAAACATTTTTTACACTAGTAATACAATTCATTACTTGGGTCCACTATTTTCCGGTGACTATGGGTCAAGTACTAAGAGTGATTGATAAGCTAGTATTATGGACTGCATATTATTTTTCATGATAACACTTATCTATTTCCCACTTAGAATAACACAGCCTTTGGAAACCTCTCTATTAATTTTCGTATAAATATTAGCGAAGTTCTATGAGTTTTATACACAAAATAATTTAACTTCTAAGACAAGGCAAACTAAACAAACTTCTCAAAACTGGGATTTAGGTTGCACATTGTTATTGATAAAAGTATCATAACAGAGGTCCCACAATTAACAATAAAATATGTTTGATTGCTAATCTGATCAATATCTATTAATAGAAGCTTGGCTTACCATACCTAATGTGGTGTGAGATAAAATAACTGGATCAATAAATAAGTCATACCATGAACGTAAAGTAGGCTGAAAAAACACAAGTTAAAGAAAAAGCACATGTACAAGAAATAGCACAAGTATAAGAAATAGCACAAGTAAAAGAAATAGCACAAGTAAAAGAAATCGCACATGTAAAAGGAATAGCACATGTAAAAGAAATAGCACAAGTAAAAGAAACAGCACATGTAAATGAAATAGCCCAAATAAAAGAAATATCACATGAAAATGAAATAGCACATTTAAAAGAAATCGCACATGCAAAAGAAATAGCACATGCAAAAGAAATAACACATGTAAAAGAAATAACACATGTAAATGAAATAGCACTTGTAAAAGAAATAGCACGTGTAAAAGTCCTCTAAGTAGAAGGCCAATGTGAATAACTAAAAGTAGATTACCAGGTGTAAACAATTATTTAAAAAGACATGTGTCAATTACATATTAGAGAAAAAATCTATTTGAAAACTAAAGCAAATTACTATAACTTTAAGACAACATTAAGTATAAACTTCACCTTTATTCATCTATATCCCAGCCTTCAACATGCATACTAAACAGCCATAGGTTTAATGTATGTGTGTCTAGTAGCTTCTGTATTTCTGAACTGCGTCGTTCAGTGTAAACATGCGTCAGATGACTGAGCTTTTCTTATTAGGGTTAGCAGTTTCAATATAGGGCGTAGTATTTGGTGTTTGGTATGTAACGTAAAAAACGAAATAGTGTATCGCAATAATTCTCTCTCTCTCTCTCTCTCTCTCTCTTTATATATATATATATATATATATATATATATATATATATACATATATATAAATATTTTTTTATATAAATTAATACATTAATGCATATAAACACACACACACACATATATATATACCACGGGAGCTCAATATATATATATATATATATATATATATATATATATATATATATATATATATATATATATATATATATGTATATATATGTGTGTGTGTGTGTGGTTATATGTCTTGTATGCAGTGGTAAAATCGCTATGAAACTTTGGAAAGTTGTTGAGTGCGAACCAAGTAAGATTTCTGACATACAAGTTTTTTTAAATACCGGAGTGGCGGCGTCCCAGCAGTTATGTGTTCCGCAAGATCCCCTTGGGATGTTTTACTACCAGGGGTCCGCTGATTGTGAGTCCCCTACAGAGGGTCAGGGGTACAATTTGAATAATGGTTAAAACTAAACCAGGGGCGTCCTCTTGAGCCCCAGTGGTCGCGAGACACGAAATGCCCAAGATTTGTCTATGAGCACTATGGCGCCTATATTCATTGTAAAGAGCGTCATACACTAGTGATACTGTATGATACTACAATCGTTACCCAGCCCAAACCAGGGGTGGCACAAGGTGACATTGCAGTAATGTAATAGGTGGCTTCTAGAATCGCCTCGACATGCCCCTAACAGTTGCCAAGAGGTGTTCTGTCTCATCCTTGCTTGAGGTGATCAACGTACATTCAAGGTTTTCATCCAGAATGTTTTCAGGAGTCTTGGAGGGGGTGGGGGACAAACCTGCACCCGAACGCGTAAAGTTCAAGATATATTGTGCGGATATTGTTTACATATAAATATGTAAGCATATAACGTAATGATACTGATTTTTGTTAAAAATAATATGGTGTATGTATTAAATGTTTTAAACTAAATTTTATTTAAAGACAGAAAATAAAAATAAAGAAGTATTCAAAAGTAGAAACACATCTTTAATTATGCAACCGGAGAAGTGTTTATGTTTGTGATAAGAAAGCTCTAGTGAACATATCAGTAGCACAAAAACTATCTCTGGCAAAAATAATGACGTCATATGAAACAAATAGAAAAATATCTTTAAGAAACAATGTTCTAATAAAAAGTTTAAACTACGGAAAGTACACACCGCTAATGACCTCATTGATTGCAGGGTGAAAAATCTAATGAAAAATCAAATGTCGAAAACTATACACAATACTAATGACATCATCTTCACTAAGATCCCCTTCCCATATCTTGCAATTTTATAAAAATCTGATTGGGCAATAATTATGGTGTTGCGTTGATTAATAATGTGTATCGCTCAACGTGTAGTAAAGTACATTATTTTTTACCAATAACTATTTTGTAAAATATTTTTCTTAAAAGAGTATAACATTTAAAAATATCTGCCTATAATTCACATGTAACTGGTAACTATGTCTAGTTCATTTATATATCTACGAGAAAACAAGAAAAATGTGTACACTTAATTGTAGGCCATTTAAGATTTTGAATAAATAAAACATCTCCAGTTTTCATATGAAACTCAAATGTCCTTGAAGTTTCTACAGATTTATCTTGTGTACAAACATCACCGAGCCATGATACCACACGCCCAGATCTGTGCCCAACACCAGCCCTTACAGTACCATCTCCTGTTTGTTTTATTGTAAGACTTGCTTTATACAGGCCATCAACAGGGGCGATAAACTCTCCAGTGTTTGGATAAAAATGGTTTCCTTCGTTACGTTCTATATGCTGAAAATGTGTTTGACCAAATTGTATCCTGCCAAGCGATGCTACAAATCCGATAGGAGAAGGTTTAACCTGTGGTTGCGCTAAAAGATATGAAATGTTTATCATTTATTTAACTGGTGAAACTTAAAATATTTACACTAAGAGTGTTGTACACTGAAGTGTTCTCAAAAAAATATTTTGCTGAGATTTTTGGTAGAACGCTAATCTGAATTGTAACGCTAATTTAATTTCTGAATGTTGCATATGAATATTATCTTAAGGAACAAATATTTTACACAATTCGCTACTAAACAATGCACGAAATTTGAATACAAGTAGAAAATAATGAAAAAAATTGACTTACACTTTATTTGATTATTTAGTGATATCTCCAGTAATTTATGTTCTATTACATCCAGCTACAAAGGAAATAAACAGTTAAAATCATACAAAAACTTTCATAAAGTCATTTTTATTACCAACTGTGGAAGGGGACAAAATGTAAAAGCTGTGTTAAAAGCACCCGTGGTGCAAATTGACAGTTGATCCAAATACTACCCTAACCACTCCCTAGCACGATGCCTAATCGAGAGACCCACTGTATTTATGTAGTCGCAGGGAAAACTAGGGTCAACAAACTACAGTCATGGCACAACAACTCGGATAATTTGTTAGTGCGAGAGACCTTTTTGGGAGTCCGGTGATGCACAAAGAACAGATGATTGTGTTGGAAGCAAAGGAAAACAGCCAGTGTTTCTTCCAGACTTTTTTTCTCCAAGGGGGTTCTTGAAATTTTGGGGGGAGGGGGGTGGGCGGACACTGTTAAAAGTATATATTTTCTATATAATTTCCATTTAGTTTGGGGGGGGGGGCAGTTAACTTTCTTTGGGGGGCTCTGCCAGTGGCGTAGCCAGGATCGTCTAAAGGGGGGGGGGTCCAATTTTTACCCGGGGACAAACTTTCGATTTGCACCCCCCCCCCCCCAAACTTTCGATTTGCACCTCCCCCTCAGACTTTCGATATGCACCCCCCTCATACTTTATACATATATACCAAGGGGTCTATGGGGGGTTATGACCCCCACCCCCCTAACCCCCCCTGCCTACGCCACTGGGCTCTGTCCCTCCCCTTCCCCAAAAAATGCCTGGAAGAAACTCTTGAAACAGCTCAATTCATATATTAGGAATAATCATCTAAGCTTGATTATTTCCCCTTCAGTAATCAACATATACTAAACTGTTTGACCAAAGTACATGCCAATTGGCTGAATGGTGCAGCAAGCACAAATAAAAAAGACAAAAAAAAAATAACATTCATTCTTTTTAATATGCAAATCTCGTATTACTGTATTAATGTGCAAACAATTTTTGCTATTAAAAAAGTAACTATAATTCCCGAACATTATATATTAAATAATGTAGGCCTACATGGATTATTTCGAAACAATTACCAATAGCACTTTGAGTTAGTTCTATTCGTGTACAGAACATCAAGGCAATAGAGGTTAAACCATTTTAAAATGTACCAGTTGTACGACGGAATAATGTTAATAAAACCAAGATCAAACCTAACATATATAAACACAATACTTCCGATTTTCTTAAAAATGTAATACATTTTTAACAAATCGCTGACTGTTCACTTGAAGATATAACAGGACATTGCAGTAAAATTGTCACTTATTATTATACAGTCTCGTTTTGCTTGTTTGCACAGTAATAGACATAGTAATTACCCTCATCATGTTTTCATCTCTTGCCATCAGTTTTTGATTGAGCATTTGAAATAACTTGTGCATTGCCACCAATCTTTGTTGAAGTAACTGACATATGACACCATGCTATGAAGGGTAACGTATTTAAACTTTGAATTTTTTTTAGTATTTTATGTAAAATTAAAATTCTAATACTTACTGCTGAGGTAATAGTCATAATTTGATTGGCTGTTTGCATTGCTCTTTTCTTTTGTTCTTCTTGTAAATCAGACATTGAATTAGTCTGACTTTTTATTTCTTGTATAAGCACACTTGTTTTATCAGTCTGTAGCTGCATCTCTTTATTCAATTTGTTGAAGTTGCTTTCATTTTCTTTTATATCTATAGATAAGTTTTCTAGTGTTTTGCTCAAGAAGGATTCTTTTTCTAGTAAATATTCAATTTCTAAATTTGACTTCTTTTGATTATCATCATAGTCTTTTAGTTGTTTTCTCATATTCTTAAAATTCTGTTTTTGTTTCTTTGATAATTGATCCACTTTTACCACCATATCATTTTGTTCTGTTACAAAGTTGTCTCTCCATTGTTTTAATTCTGATATGTCATCTTCAGTCTTTTGTTTGGTGTCTTGAAGAGAAGTCAGAGTTAACTCAATTTGCTCCAGCCGGCTAGTTATTTCAGAATTAAATTCAACTGTGGGTTTAAAAAACAATGGCAGAAATTTTATTTTATTATTGATAAATAAAATCTGTTGAGCATACTAACAATACTTAGTTTTCTTATATAAAAAAATAAAATTATTGAATTGAATTATAAAATAAACTTTCAAAAAATTACTAATTTATAATTATTGTATAACATTTAATTAGTTATTGTAGCATTGTGCTAAACAACAATGAAAAATATCTTTCAACAAATTGAATCTGCTCTTAATTCTGATTTATATTAATCAATTCAGCTTACCAGAGTTTGGTGTTTTCAGAATTGGTTCAGCTGCTTCAGTTTTCAAATGTTTATTTTCCAATGTTTTGGTCTCTGCTTCAGTCACTGGAGTAGCGTAAAGCTGGGTGGATTCTTCTCACAATATAAAACAAAGTATTTTTTATTTACTTGCTCACCAACAACTTACACATTTTTTGTCAATCAAATAAATCCAATACAGAAAGTATGTTTTGATATTTTAAATATTCTTATATACAGTATTTACATAATATGTTTAATTAACATAATGACAATTTTAACTATTAAAAACTTTATCAAAACAAATAGCCTATTTGGATTTAAATGAAATGTAACAATTGATATAATAAAACAATATTAAGCTCACAACATTAATAATGGTATCGAGCAATATTTATAATATAAGACAAATATTTGATAAGTAGTAATAAATATTTGACTGTTAAATATAAAAATGGGACTAGTATACCGGTTAATAAGTCCATATGTTCTAGCAGTGTATTGTGTGCTGTTGTTACCATGGCAATGGCCTCTTTTACCATCATATTGCAACCAGTGCTGTTGTCAAGACATTCCATTGCTTTTGTTTTAACCTACAAAATATAGGCCTACTGCTTTAAAACAAATTTTACAAAAAAATACTGCAAAATTGTATTTGTCGTATATTGTGAGAAAATGAATTTCAACATTTTTAACACATTCTTAAGGGTTAGAGTTAGGACAAAGATAGTTAAATAAAAGTTTAAAATGAACTTCTAGTAGATTCTCTATTGAGACAGACAAAAAGAGCTAAAGGCCTATATTGGAAAGTAATATTTAAAAATACCTGCATAACAAAATTAGTAAATCCATTCTGTAAAAAATCACAGCATTCATCTATTTGATCAAGCAGGTTCTGAATATGCCTCTTAGAATGATTTGACATCTGAGTAACAATGGATTATTGTAGTGAGTTTTTTTAATAAGTTTTTATTTTTATTTCTGGGGGTAGGTGGTATATTGGGCCTATAGTGTATCAAAATTTCATGTAGGCTACAATTTTGTTTTAATTTAACTTCTGAGAGGAGTTAACTAAAAAAGTTGAAGCAACTTGTTTACATGTTCTTTGTTTTAAACTACACAATATTAGGCATAGCAATATGGTGGGGTGGGGGGGGGGAAGGAGGTTGTTTTGTATAAACATTTTTAGCTAAGCTAAGCTTCATGACATGCTGTAGGGGTAGACGGGGATGGGGGTTGTGGTTAGATGCATAGGTCTATAAATCAATTTTGTAGCCTACCTTTTTTGGTAAATTGTAAATGATGTGCACAATCACAAATAATAAACTTAAATTTTTAAAAATAGAAACATAATAATAACCTTTAATTTAATAATAGATTCACTAAAATATAAATTAAATGCTCACATTTAGAAATTTAGAATTCTAGATTCTAGGCCTACATCTATGATTATATAATTAGGATTAGGCGTATAGAATAAAAAGATACAGATAGATACTTATTAGATACCTTGTAAACTATAAGCAACTTAGCTCTTTAGTAGTTTAGAAATAAAAAAAACAGTTGCTTTATTTAAATACGTTTTTATTCCTATAAAGGCAAGGGTAAAAAGTAACTGGTTTCACATAAAAGCTAAAAATACCTCTATTTTGCTTGTGTATTCCCAATATTACTTGTAACAGGTTGAGTAGGGAAGTGGCGTAGGCCTGTAGAAGTCACATACACAGGCCTCATAGTTTATAGGCCTATATTAAATGTTAGTATTTTCAATAATAATCATTAAAAAGTTTAAAAAAAACCCACGTTTTCTGATAGAACTAAAAAGTAGAAAATAAATGCTATACATCACAATAATGCAAGCGATCACTCTACTATAAGCGATGAAAAACGTGGGGCGCCGAAGTAAAAGTTATATTACTATTGATTAGATAATACTATTGACTTTTATTAGGGAGCTTGTAGAGAGTCAACAGTATTAGAAACTGTAAGAAAATCACGGCGCCCCACGTTTTTGATCGCTTATAGTAGAGTGATCGCTTGCATTATTGTGATGTATAGCATTTATTTTCTACTTTTTAGTTCAATCAGAAAACGTGGGTTTTTTAAAACTTTTTTAATGATTATTATTTTCTACTTTTTAGTCTTTGTCTGTGTGTTTGCATTAAAATCTTGCTATCGATTTTATCTTTTCACTTTTTTTTGGGTAAACGAAGACAACTCGTAAAAAGACAACTCGTAAAAAACACGTTGTGTGAATACGTTACTGACTAGAACACATAGATTTTAACCCGTGTCGAGTGGGATAGCAATCGTGTACCCAACCACTCGACCACATCGTGACTATCGTCTCCCCCATACTGGCCACCAGTTGTTACCACCGCGTGAACACTACTCAGTCAAAAGAGGGAAAGTACCGAACCTTGTTTTCATCAAATTACAGTTACTGGGTTATGTCCCCTTTCCCCCACGTTTTTACTACAATTATATAGCGGTCTAAAATGCTCAATAAAATGTTTCCATGGATCAATTTAGTAATAATAACAATTGAATATTCTATTGTCATCCAAAACAAAGCTTCCCTGGCGGAAGTGCCAGAAATTTCGATCGCAAGATTTGATTGGAGAACCGGACGCGAAAGCAAGTTAAAGAAAACGTGGGAAAAACTATTCCATTGTTAGACGTTTTGGTAGATTGTTGATCAATAACATTTTTAAAGTACTAATATAACATTATATATATATATATATATATATATATATATATATATATATATATATATATATATATATATATATATATATATATATATATATATATAAAGTAAGATCTAATACTTTTAGTGTAGATTCTGTAGTGTGTAGATTGTAGTGTAGTGTGTAGTCAAGTTGGGGGACAAAGACAGATAAGTTATGTATTGGTTAGATCTAATCTTAATCAAGATTATAAACGTATTTGTATACAGTTCATTATCATCTGATAATTTAAAAAACTAAAATGTTAAATTATGTAATATTTAAGAAAAAAAACGTTAGTTCTCTATGACTTTATACACTCAAATCAGTATATATATATATATATATATATATATATATATATATATATATATATATATATATATATATATATATATATATATATATATATATATATATATATATACACCCCCTCTTAAACTTTCGATTTGCACCCCCCTCAAACTTTCGATTTTTAACCCCCTCCCCTCACATTTTTCTCTATATATTTTGCTATTTTTTGCCTCGGTGTCACCCCCTTAAATGGTGCCACCCGGTGCGGTCCGCACCCCTCGTCCCCCTCGCTACGCCTCTGTGTAGCCTATATTTTCCTAATGTAAGAACTACATGTCCCCAACATCACTGTCATTGTGTACCCGTGTGTCGCGTGTCGCGGCATGACGGTGTCAAATAAAGTGTGGGCCTGCCCCGCTATTTACGTGTGACAACATTTAGGGGGAGGGGGTTGCAAATCGAAAACTTGAAAGTTTGTCCCCGGGAAGGGTCGCTACGCCTCTAGGGGGTGACACCATTAAGTGCCGCACCGGGTGAAACCCGACCTCGCTACGCCACTGACTATGGGTCAAGTACGAATGGAGATTGATAAACTAGTTGAGTGGACTGCATATTATTTTCCATAACAATACTATTAACGTTATCATATATCCTAATAAAAAAAAAACATAGCCTTTGGAAACGTCTTTATTAATTTTCGTATACAAATTTAGCGAAGTTCGCTGTACATTTTATACAGTGGCGTCGCTTGGTCAAGTGTCATTTTGGTTGGTGCGACATTTTGAAATGACACACTCCACCCCCCCCCCCCCCCCAAAGAATATATATATCAATCTATATATATATATATATATATATATATATATATATATATATATATATATATATATATATATATATATATATATATATATATATATATATATATATATATATATATATACTAGCGTACCCGCCCCCCGCGCGTTGCCGCGGAGATAGAAGAAAGTTTGACGAAATATATTAGAAGGATTTCATCAACGCGATACCAATCATATGTTCTTAGACGCGTGACTTTCTTTTCTAAAAATGAGTTATTTAAATGTAAGCCTGCGCTTGGATCATAAATATCAGGACACGGGTTTACCTAAACTACCGCTTGAAAACCTTGAGTGTGCATTAATCACTCACCGAAATAATGAGGTAGAACATACTTCGGTGACCGCCCATTTGTCAGGGACGTAGAGGGGCGCTCTCAGGAGACCCCCCTCCCCGATTACACTACCGCATTGGTGCAGCGTACGGCCCCTGGCTCCTTAAAACTAACAGGCGCCAACGTGCTCATAGGATAGCCCAGCGTGCCAATAGCATCCTGTAAACAATGATGCAGATTGCGTCATTCGATAAAGTGACACAAATGAACTGGATTTTTTTTCTTTAACACGTAAAAAGAATATTTGACGTGTTTTAAACATCAGTGTGACTGATATGCAATATGCTAGCGTTACTAATGGTCTATTATTAGATGCTCGATCTCAATTTCTGACTGGATCGTCTAATAATAGCTGCTTATTGCATCATTCGCAAAGTGCCGAAACTCTACAGTAGGCTACTCATATTCAAAAAGTTATTTTTTCATCTTTCGCAAGGTGACGAAACTGTACAGGATTTCCTCGCGTTACAAAGTTATTTTTTAGAAGCCTGTTGTTGTTTTACCGCTGAATATAGTAGTACCCTTTACTCGCTATGCAGGACGCTTGATTAACGGATGCCAAGTGCCAACCTAGTCGCTTTAAAACTCTGGGCGCCAAACCCTGCATTGACGAAAATTGTACCCTACATGGCGCCGCCCATAAGAAACTTTAGTTTTCTTTTTCGCAGAAATATTCTCGGGAGTATTCTCATCTACTCCTTAAAGTTTCATGGCACTCGGATGAACCGCATCCGAGTTTTATTTTTTTATACCGTGTATAGAGAAAAAAATCGCCCCCCCCCCGGGGGCACCGCCCTTGCAATATTAAAAAATATTTTTTTTGTAGAACCCTACCATTGAGTGATCTAATCATCTCCCCAAAGTTTTATGTTACACGAATGAACGGTGTGAAACCGAAATAAACTTTTATTTTAAAAACCGTATATAGAGAAAAAAACAAATCGCGCCCTGCTGG